TGCATACAAGAACTGGGGTACAGGCCAGAATCCTCTCAGAGGATTCACCAGAGACGGAGTGGGCAGCAGAACAGGTAGATCTACTGAAACACACTAATGAGGGGAGTCGTGGGGAGACGGGAGAGGCCATGTGGGTCAGCTCCCTGGCCAGGGATCGAACTCGTGCTGCAGTGGCCAAAGATAGCATCATAGTGCTGCGCTTTAACCCGTTGTGCCACCAGGGGGGACCCAGCATGCATCTTTAAAGTGAGTTTCTTACAGGCGGCATGTATGCAGGCCTTGGAGCAGGTGGTGGGAAGCCTTTTCTGCTTAGGACCAGATAGTAAATAGGTCACCTCTATAGGACACAGGGTCTCTGTCCCAGCCATGCAACTCTAGTGCTAACGCAGCCACACATTACCAGAAATGAATGCTTGTGCTGGCTCCCAATAAAACCTCATTTATGGGCACCGACACCGGACTTTGCCTTGTCTGTGTTGTGTGTAGTGGAATATTCCTCTTGGTTTCTTTTTAAAGTTTTTATTTATGCACACAAGAACTGGGGTGTAGGCCAGAGGTGTGCAGGGGGGCGGTGGTGAGAGGATTCACCAGAGTGGGGAACAGAACAGACTGAAATCCACTGCTGAGGGGCGCAGCGGATGAGACAGGAGAGGTCTGCTGCGCCATGTGGGTCACTCCCTGGCCGAGGGTCTTGCTGCAGTGGCTGCTGTTAGCTTGATAGTGCTGACTTTAGCCCACTGCAGCACCAGGAAAGTCCTCTTCTTTAAACATTTAAATATGTGAAAATCATTCTTGCGGTGTGTGGGCGTTACAGAGCAGGTCAGAGCAGGCCTCTGGGCCAGAGCTTGCCAACCTTGCTGGAGACGACTCCTCTAATGTGAAGACTGATTGTTTGGGTTTAGATCTGCCAACTTGCTGTTTGTTTTATTTGCTCCACTTCTCTTCCCTTTTCCCATCTTCTTTTGGGCTTATCAAGGTTTTTAGGGCACAGGGACTCCCTGATCAGTGGATCCGCCTGTTCTGCTCCCCACTGTGTCTCTGGTGAGTCCTTTCACCCCTCCCCACACCTCTGGCCTGCACCACAGATCTTATATGCATAAATAATTAAAAATAAATCTTAAAAAAAAAGATTTTTCGGACCCTGCTTTAGTCCACTGCTCAGTTATTAATTATTTCTGTTTCGTTTTTCCTAGTAGTTCCTTCGGGCTTATAAAGTGAATCTGACTTAGTACCAACACTCCTAAGTAACAGCTCACTATTTACTCTGCGTAACAGGTAACACTCTCACCACAAGTACTTCACCTCTCCGCCCAGTATTTATGCTGCTGTTGCTATATACAGCACTTGTGCATATCGGTAAGCCCCATGGCATATTAGAGTGTGTGTGTGAGTGATAGTGTGTGTGTGTGTATTCGCTTTAGGCGGTAAATGTCTTGCAAATAATTTTTCCTAACAAGAATGTCTTTTATATTTACTCACACACCTGCCATCTCTATACTCTCTATTTCTTCACATACATCCAAATGTCCATCTAGTTTCCTTTTCCTTGAAGAACAGTTTGGAACATTTCCTGAAGAGCAGGTTTACTGGCAGTTAATTTTGCTTGTATGAAAACATTGTTTCCTACAAACATTGTTTCTTCTTTGATGCATCATTGTGCTGGGTATGGGAGCCTGTGTTGGCCCCTTTCTTTCAGCCGTTGTATTACCTTCCAGTTTGCTTACTTTCTGGCCAGACGTCTCCTGTCACCTTTGAGTCTCTGTATGTTGTGTTTTCTCTGCCTTAAAGACATTCTCTTTACCACTGGTTTTTGGCAACTGAGTATAATGTCCTTTGATACACAAGTATGTGTATATGACTTGACATCTTGGATCTGCAAGTTTATAATAGTCATTAACTTTCTTTCCTGTTACCTCTTTCTCTACTCTATTTCTCTTACTGCAGTTACGCAAAGCCACTGGTATTATTCCTCAGGCCACTGAACCTCTGTGCCCAATGTCAGTCACTTCGTTCCTCCCAGGGCTTCATTCTGGACAGGCCACTTGCTGTCTTCCGGTCCCCCGTTCTTTACTGTTGCATCATCCAATCTGTGTACTTTGTGTTCATGTTTTTCTTTATATCCCTAAGTGTCCTGAACATATTTACAGTAGACGTCCAGTGCCCTTGTTTTCCACTTCCATCATCTCTGCCAAACTCCAACTGTTTCAGTGGATTATTTTTCTCTCGCTATCACAAATTTTTCAATCTTTACATCGTTGAATATATTCCTTTAAAGAGTCTTGGGCTTTTCCTGGCAGGCAGGTATGTTACTGATGGACTATTTCCATCTTTTCCAGGCCTGTTTTTAAGCTCTTTTGGGACAGGCTAACTCAATTCTTTCTAGGTGAGTCTGTACGGAATGTGTCATGTATCCAGTGAACTCCCTCTACTCTGCTGGAAGCAGCTTAAAGATTCCCTGCCCTGTGTGAGCCCTGGAATTGCTCTCTCTTCAAACAGTTGCTCTTGCATTCTGTATCAGCAGTAAGTGGCAGATATTCAGCCACTATCCAAGAGGACCCCTATGCCGATTTGGGGACCCTCTCCCTGTGCAGCTGCCTCCTTTTGGGTATGCACTGCTACACACTCCAGCCCTCATGGCCTCCCTCACCTCTGACCTCTGTTCCTGTAACTAAGTGAGGTTGCTGTGCTGCTTGGGTTTCCCTTTCTGACCCTGCTGTCTGTCTGTTAAACCCAGTCGGACAGCCTGGCCATGGTGGGGCTCACTTGGCTTGTTTCTCTCCTCATGGATTGGGGTCCACTTCTCCATGTTCACAGCAGAAAAGTCTTTCTAGTCCACCTTATTTCCTTCCGTCTAGAAGCGACATTTAAACGCAGAGTGTCTAGCTCCAGAGTCTGCACCCCCAGTCTGTCCACTAGTTGACAGTCAAAGGGCCTTCTAGATGTTGGTGTCACCAGGGGGCAGCACTGCCAGTGGGGTGCACAACCTTGGAGTCAGGGGGCAGGGGTGACTCCAGCCTGTGGCTCACCCCTCCCACCCCTCAGGTGGGCCTTCACCTTGATCATCATCTCCTCCTACACGGCCAACCTGGCTGCCTTCCTCACCGTGCAGCGCATGGAGGTGCCCGTGGAGTCGGCCGACGACCTGGCAGACCAGACCAACATTGAGTACGGCACCATCCACGCTGGCTCCACCATGACCTTCTTCCAGGTGGGGCCACCAGAGCCACCCAGGCTGGGTGCCAGAATCCCTGCCACACGCAGAGCCCAGGGTGGCGCTGGGCAGGGCCTCCTGGGTCAGGGTGATGGACTGTCGTGCGCATCAGAGAGGCTGGGCAGCAGAAGGCGTGCCCGTACCCCCTCGGGGATCCTGCTGTCTGGCTGGACTTTCACCAGGGAGGGAGGCAGATAGGAGATCAGTATTGAATCAGTGCTGGACAGGAAAAATGAGGTTCAAGTAGGCTGTGAGCAGAGGTAGGAAATAAGGATGCTGACCCCCTTCAAGGTGAAAGGAACTTGTCCCATGTATTCTGGGCGATGGGATGGAGTGCAAAGAAAACCAGGTCTAGGGTTTGGGTAAGGGGTGCTGAGGCATCAATACCAGGCTAGCTGATCGGACTCTGGAAGTGGGGAGATGGGATGGTTACTGAGCAGAATGGTTACCTTCTCAGAGCTGGGAGTTCCCTTTAGGGGCCGGTGGGGTAGACCAGTGGTCTGGGGCGAGGAGGGAGGGGTGGGCTCACAGGACCCTGAAGTGGGTACCCAGACCAGTTCCAGGGTGGGAGACCAGAGGAGGGGCCTGTGGCAGCCTGGGTGGAATGGTAGTGGCAGTTTTTCCGGCCTACATAGACCCCCTCCTGGGACTTGCAAAGGGCCCCCTTGCAAAGGTCTCCTTGGGTGGATAGCAGCAAGTAAGCAGTCCCATTTGGCCTGGACTCGGCCCTCCTTGAGCCAGCCTAGGTAGGCACTGGTTTGAAGTGTCTGCTCCCAGGGTCTGTGTGAAGGCCAGGAAGTGCTAGGACGGCAGAGCTGGGCAAGTTGCCCAGCCAGACCCAGGGGTTGGAGAGAGAGAATGGTGGGAAAATGGACCCCTTCCTTCCCAAAACTTTGGCCCTTGCCTTTACTGGGCTGGTGGGTGTGTGGCTGACTTGCGTCTGGCCTTGAACAGTCTGCCTGTCGCTCTCCCCTGGTCTCATGCTCTCTGACTGAGGAGACAGGGCTCCGGGGAAAGGCAGGGGTGGGAAGACCCTCACCGCACTCCCCCTGCGCCCCCTCTCCCTAGAATTCGCGGTACCAAACATACCAGCGTATGTGGAACTACATGCAGTCGAAGCAGCCCAGTGTGTTTGTCAAGAGCACAGAAGAGGGCATCGCCCGCGTCCTCAACTCCCGCTATGCCTTCCTGCTCGAGTCCACCATGAACGAGTACCACCGGCGCCTCAACTGCAACCTGACCCAGATAGGGGGCCTCCTCGACACCAAGGGCTACGGCATCGGCATGCCGCTGGGTAAGGCAGCCGTGGGGCTGGGCGAGGCGCGGGGGACCCCCAGGAGCACCTGAGGCAGGCTGGCGTGCTGCGTGTGGCCTTGGGCAGGTGACGTCACCATCCTGAGCCTGCAAAGCCCGGCCCGGGTACCACGGGCTCCCGCCCTGCAGGGCGCGGGGAGAGCCCCGGGAGACCACACGCGCAGCTTGGGCCACGTGGGCCAGGATGCTCGCCTCGTGGCTTCCGGTCCCCTGAGCGTGAGGACCTAGTCTATTTACGTCATGTTCTCTACACCAGACCCCAACGCTCGACTCAGAGCAGGTGTTCAGTCATGGATGATGATGATGATGTTGGATGAATGGAGAGTGGCCGGGTGGCTGGGTGCATGGCATGGTAGATGGAAAGCGGGGAAGAAGGGATGGATGTCCCAAGCAGATTTGGAGGTTCTGATTTATACTTCAACAGCTACTTTTCCAGGGCTCAGTGCTGGAAATTCACGACCAGCTTGGTCATTTTGGTTTTTAAAGCTGTCTATATGCTGATGGCAGCTGCATTACTTATCTATCGCTGCACATCAAATTACCTCACATCTTAGCAGCTTTGTAGCAAAATCCATGCTATGTCAGGGAGTCTTGTAGCCTGGTGCTTTGGGGGGGCAGGCTCTGGAGTCACCATCCTGGACTCAAATCCCAGCTCCTTCCCCGACCCAAAACATGACTTTAGGCAAGCGTGTCACCTGCTGCATCTAGAAAACAGTTGGGGTCCTGTCAGTTGGGGTCCTACCTGCCTCACAGCTTCATTGAAATCGTTTCTGTAAATCAAGGATCTGGCACAAGATAGGTGCCCTATAGGCCCCCAACCCCCTCGCCCTCATCCCCACACGTGGCAGGTGGTCAGGGAAGAAAGGAGCACAGAAGACGACGTGTGGGCTCTTTGGGGCCCAAGGATGGTCCAGGGAGGGGACCTGGGGGTGGAGGACAGAGGCGGTGGCCGGGGATCCGTCCCCTCGGCAGGTCTGTGGTGCCCCAGATCTGTGCCCCAGGCACCACGCTGGATGCTGTCATGCTAGAGCGGGGAGCTGCACCCCCCAACTTCTACCAAGGGTGCAGACAGACAATACACACGTAGCTGTGTCACGATGTTAGCGGGTGACAAGTGCTCGAAGTGGTTTAAGGGGGAGAGGCTGACTGGGAGTGGGGTGTCTGGTGCCATTTGAAAGTAGTCAGAGAAGACACCCTCTACTCCCTCCCCGGAGGAGGCACCTTGGAAGCGGAGATTCCTGCAAGCAGTGAGGGTGGGAACATTCTGGGCACAGGGCCTGAGGTGGAACTGTGCCTGGAGAATTCGAGGAACCAGTGTGGCTGGAGCTGAGCGAGCTACAGGGGTGCACAGCGCCCCGGGGTGTCCAGGCCTGTGAAGGCGGGACCTTGTTCTGACTGCCAGGGGAAGCTCTTGGAACCTGCAGCCCGAGGGCGCCCCAAACTGTGCTTCTGAAATTGTCCACTGGGGGGCCGGGGAGGGAAAGCCGCACACAGCACCGTGACTAAGGTGACATGAGGTGGGTGTGGTGGGGCCTGGCCAGGTGGCTGCCCTGAGCTGGCGAGCAGTGGTCAGACTGGCAGGTGGACAGGCCATGCTGGGGGCACGCCTCAGGTGGCAGGGAAGTCACCGAGGGCAGGTGGGGGGTAGGCAGCGCCCGGGCCTCATGGCCGTCCATGCCTCGTCCGCCCGGTGCAGGCTCCCCGTTCCGGGATGAGATCACGCTGGCCATCCTGCAGCTTCAGGAGAACAACCGACTGGAGATCCTGAAGCGCAAGTGGTGGGAGGGGGGCCGGTGCCCCAAGGAGGAGGACCATCGAGCTAAAGGTCAGCCCCCCGCACGCGGTGCCCGCCCCGAAGACCCCCGCGCCCACTCCCCCACCTGCGGCCTGACTGCACGGCTCTCCCCTCCGCTCCCAGGCTTGGGCATGGAGAATATAGGTGGGATATTTGTCGTGCTCATCTGTGGCCTCATCATTGCTGTCTTCGTGGCAGTCATGGAATTCATATGGTCCACGCGCAGGTCAGCAGAATCTGAAGAGGTAAGATGGTGTGAGGGTGTGTGCAGGGGATGGCCGCCCCAGGGGACAGGCACGAGGCGGTGGCACTGAGGGCCTGGAACAACGCATGGGAGGAGGAGGGGCCGGGGAGCACCCTCAGAGCTCCAGGGTGAAGGGGGTAGGAGAAGAGGTGGGCTGGAGGAAGGACAAGGACAGAGGAGGAAAAGCTGCCAGAGATGAGGACGGGGAGAGGAGGTGAGCAGGGCCTCCGAAATGCACGTAGCGGGGCGGCAGAGGAGGTAAAACCAAGGCATCAGAGGAGAAACAGAGAAAAGGCAGCTGACTGCAGCTGGAAGAGAACACACACTTTCCCGCTGCTCACCCGCCATATTCCAGGTCGCTGGTCTCGGGGTCCCCACTGCTACCCAAGCGTGCGGCCCTCCTGCTCCTGGCCCATTGCACTCTTACCCGGTTGTGACCTTCCCTGATCTCCACCAATCCCCAAATCCTTCCCCCATCCTCACTCTTAGATAACGAACTTGCTTCTACCCCCATGAAAAAGCAGAGGAGTCAGAAGAGAAAGTGCAGGAGTCACCCCTACCTGTAGCACTGCCGGGGCCACCTCCAC